CCCCAAAACCCCAAAACCCCTAGCCAACAAAATAGCATTATAATCTCTATAAAATTAAATAAAATGTAATAATAATTCAATCATCATAATTCTGATAGAATTTTACTTTTCCATTACTTATAGCTTGATAAAGCGCTGAACATTTTTTTATTCTATTTGCAAATCTCTAATCCATATTATCTACTGTTGAGTATTTGAAATAAACAAAATTATTCATTTAGGATTCATTTATAGTCTCAATGCATAAATCAATTCTTTTCTCGTCTTTCAACTACTTGCCTGATAATATTAAGAAGGCATCTAGAGAATAAATGGGGTCTAAGCAAATAATATTTAAAAATAAGTTTTAGATGTGATAGTCAGTAATATCAGCCAATAAATCATTAATTAGATTAGTCCTTTATTTGAAATTTATGCTCATAAAAACGCACTTAGCTTAAAATGATTTCAGGACTGCATATAAAATGCTATCATATTTCTTTGTTTTGGTAAGTTCGATTAGCATCAACTTTAATGTTTGATAATTGAGTGAGTTTGGATGATTTTCGTAAATGATGTAGAAATCATCTTGATATTTTACATCCAGCAGCATTAAATAAAACGGAAGTAATATTAAGCTCTCAGCATCTCCTACTTTTATTTTAAGCTTTCTAAAATTTTCTATTTATTTATAGAAGTTATTCTGACAAAAGAACTGTGGCGAGATAAGTGTTCTATTTATTAATTAGAGCATTTAAGTAGTAAATTTGAAATTACTCTAAATATCAATGTTGAAATTTTACTCGATTTCAGCAATTTTTTTGATCGTGATGCCGGTCGGGTCATCTTATTCTTATATTTATTTAATCTATTTATTAAAAGAAAGAGAATCATACATCTCTACTTTATCCAATGATTTTTAATCGCTTTCTTAAACTATATTTTGACTTATTGCATAATTTAAACTATCCATATTATTTTTTAGACATACTTCCTTTAGTATTGGTGGAAATCCATGTTGGCTAGAGAGTATTTTTATTTAGCGTTAAATTTCCAAAATAAATTAATCAGTAATTTGATATTAACCAAAATTTATTGCTGATTCTAAAGCTATCTTTTAATTTTATCTCATTTCTAATTTGTTCAACACGTTAAAATATAAATAGGTATAGATTATCTATCTATTTGTCATTAAAGGATAAATATAACCAGTTTTTTCTTCAACATAATTATCATTTAATGCATAACCTAAGGGGTTATAGTTTAATTTCAAAATATCTTTTATTTACTAGAGATAATGGATATGCTCATGGAAATCTTAGAAATCTTTCATGCTTTATATATAGACCTAACTTTTAAAGATTATCCTACATATTTATAATAAGAATTCTTCATGATGTTTGTATTTAGTCTCAGCATATTTGATTGCCTCAAGTAAATCATTGGCATCCCAAACTCCATAAAAATGCTATTGTAGGAGAAATTCTAGTACCTTGACACTTTTAAATCTTATTGCTATGATTAGAGAATGATAACATTCAGGATTTTCTTATTCATTGGGATGTTTCTAGGAATCATAAATATCTTTAGTTGTAAACATATGAGGTGTAAAAATTGGTAACATTTTTTGATAAACTTTAAAGAAGCTTAAACTATCACTTGCTATTGCATAATGAATCGGAGTCCAAAAATATTTCTAAGATCTTTCATCATTTTAATCCCAATTAGTAAATTAATAATTTCTATCTTGTATCCACTCATACCATTCATGCTGACCTAATCTTCTAATAATCAAGTCTTTATCATTAGAAATTGCTGCTTCTCTTAAGGGAGTGTAGTACTGAAGATGACGATGTATAAAACATAGATCATCCTCAATTTCAAATTCTGATAACTATTTAATCTAATTTCCCATTTATACAATATGTTATTTATAAACATTTATATCAAAAGTTATTTAAAAGTTTTAGATTCTTGGGGTTTTGGGGTTTTGGGG